GCCGGACGTGTCCGTGCTACATGGGTAAGGGGAGAGGTCATCCATATAAAGAAAGAAAGGAAAGAAGAGAGGGAAAGAAGGGAGACAAAGGAGAAAGGGAAAGAGGGAGGAGAAGGAAAGAGGAGCAATGGGAGGGTGCAGCGTGGAGCGGAGCAGCGTGCCCTGACAGCAACTGTTGGCCCATGATTACCATATTGTCAGCAATTGGCATAAGTACAGACCTGATCGAGAGTTTGCCAAATGCCCCTGAAAGAAGCCCAAATTATGGGATCATGATGGACATCGGGACGATGGTCAAGATGGATTACCGTTGCAGTGTGAAGACGTCTGCATGGGGCCTGCGATGGACCTTGAGACGAATGATATTGATAAAGGTTCCAAGTGCCATCATCTGTCAGCCGCATTAATCCACCAGCTATTGTCTCGTTGTCTCCTTCACCTCCTACCCCCACCTCCAGGTTGTCTCCAGGAGACACTTGTTTTAACCCCATTTGTATTGAGACTTCGGATTCCTCACACACCAGGAACCCTGTTGACCATCCTTCATGCCCAACATCATCATTGCCATTGTCAAAAATCCTGCTCAAGGAGTGCATGACACACCATGAAGGACTGAAATCATCTTCCGGATCTGTGACTAGCTCCCAACCCTCCGGTCGCCCTCTGCTCAATCGATTTCCATTGCCGAATCCCATCCCATCCAGACATGGTACAATGCCAAGTCATGGTGTTCCTCTCACTTCTGCCTGAGGGCATCAGATAACAACTTCGTCGCACGATTGCGGACCTGTTAAGGGATCGCCCCCCACAAGAGCCCGACCATGTGCAAGAGGAGATGGAGGAGGGAAGGCCCATGGAGGATTTTCGGGAAGACGACAAGTGAGAGATGTGCCCCGGTCGTCCCCCAGCATCACTGTACCCACATGTAGATACCGTGGTAACTCCAGAACTACTGCGCAACCTAAGCTGTACCAAGTGATCGCTAAGAAAAGATGAGCCACATCCATAAATCCCAACAAAAGGGACCCAAGACAGGTCCCAGCCAAGGTCACCGTCCCCCCACCTGCAATCTATGTGCTGTCCAAACGCCCCCCTCGATCCCTCAACCTCCTAGTGAGGTTGACCACGACTACCTTGCTCACCTCAGTCACCACCTCAGCCCTCCTGGACCCCGGAGCTACAGGAATGTTTGTTAGCCATGAGTTCGTCCGGAAGCACAACCTGGAGACCACCCCCCTACCCCAACCAATCCCAGTCCATAATGTAGATGGAACCCCAAACGAGAACGGGTCCATTACTGAGGAGGTGGAAGCACTCCTCACCTTCGGGCAACACTCCGAGTGAGCCTGCTTCGCAGTAATTAACCTGGGCCAGCAGTCAGTCATTATCGGCCACTCGTGGCTCCTGCACCACAACCCCAAGGTAGACTGGGCCAGACAAAAGGTCACCATGTCCCACTGCCCACCCGCCTGCCAGAGCCCTAAGGTGGCACCGATGACCCCAGAGGCCCCTGACCTCCGGGTGGAACCTGGGGATGGGGACACGACCTGAGGGCAACCACCACCCCATCACAGCGAATGGCCCAGAAGGCACAGGACACCGCCCTAGGGGACAAACCCTTTGAGGAGGTGGTGCCGGAATGCTACCAGGACTTTAGGGACGTCTTCTTGAAAGAGGCCTTTGATCAGTTACCCCTCCGGAAACCTTGGGACCACACCATTGACCTCGTCCCTGATGCTAAACTGCCATGAGGAAAGACCTTCCCACTATCCCCTGCAGAACAGGGGGAGCTTGACAACTTCCTCAGAGAAAATCTAGCCAATGGACAGACCCGCCCATCCAAGTCCCCCATGGGGGCCCTGGTGTTCTTTGTAAAGAAGAAGGACGGCTCCCTAAGGCTGGTACAGGACTACCAGAAGCTAATCAAGAAGTCCTATGCTCTCCCCCTTGTCTCTGACATCCTCACTCACCTCCAAGGGGCTAAGTGGTTCTCAGCCCTTGACCTGTGGTGGGGCTTCAACAATGTCTGCATCAAAGAAGGAGACAAGTGGAAGGCAGCCTTTGCAACCAACCGAGGGTTGTTTGAACCGATGGTAATGTTCTTTGGGCTCTGCAACTCCCTGGAGGGGTCGTCATTTGCTACATGGACAACATCTTGGTATTCACAGCCACCCTGGAGGAACATCGAAAGGTGGTCCAAGAGGTCCTCACTATGCTGCGAAGCCAGAGGCTGTTCCTCAAACCGGAGAAGTGTAAGTTCAAGCAGCAGAGGATCAACTACCTAGGCCTCATCATCTCAGAGAACCACGTTGCCATGGATCCAGTGAAGGCGCAAGAGGTGACTGACTGGCCAGCACCCACGAAGGTCAAGGAGGTCCAGTCCTTCCTTGGGTTTGTCAACTTCTACCGCTGCTTTATCCAGGACTTCTCTGAGAAGGCCCGACCCCTCCACACTCTCACCCAGAAATCAAAACAGTGGACCTGGGGACAGGAGGAACAGGAGGCATTCGATGGGCTGAAGGAGGCAGTCACCTCAGCACCCGTCCTCACCTTCCCATCAGACACAGGCCGGTTCCAGCTAGAGTGTGACGCCTCAAACTTCGCAACAGGGGCAGTACTCTCCCAGCTCCAAGCCGATGGGGAGTTCCACCCAGTGGCATTCATGTCAAACGGCTTCTCGGATGCAGAGAGGAACTACGAGATCTATGACAAGGAGATGCTTGCCATAGTCCAAGCCCTGGAAGAGTGGCGCCACTTCCTCAAGGGCACTCCCAAGAGATTTGACATATACACTGATCACAGGAACCTCTCTTACTTCTGGGCGGCGCAAAGGCTGAACCGACACCAGGCATGGTGGTCCCTCTACCTCTCCCACTTCCATTTTCACCTGATTCACAAGCCAGGCAGACTCATGGGGAAACCGGACTCCCTCTCCCATCGCCCAGACCACCCGAAGGGGAGGGACAACAACACAGACATGACCCTCCTACACCCGGACTGGTTCGAAGTCAGGGCCACAGAGGGAGCCGTGGTGGAAGGAGAAGAGGCGAACATCCTAGACAGGATATGCAGGGGGAGGGACAGAGATGAGGGAGTAGTGAAGGCGCTGAGGGAGTTAGAGATAGATAGGGACTCTGAGATCGGATGAATGGGAGAAGGAGGGGGAGCTGATCCTCCACTGAGGATGGGTGTATGTCCCCAAAGACCTGCAACTCCGCCATGACCTGGTGCGACTCCACTGGTTCAGTACATTGCACAGTATGTTTCCAGGTGCGACACCTGCAACCGAGTGAAGTCCTTCCCATCCCGGAAGGTAGGGAAGCTAATCCTAAACAAGATCCCCTCCCACAGATGGCAAGTGATCTCGGTGGACACCATTGGCAAGCTCCCAGACTCCAAAGGGTACAATGCAATCCTGGTGGTGGTGGACCGACTTTCCAAGCATATCCACGCAATCCCCACAGTCACCACCATGGACTCAGCAGGCATGGCCCAGCTCTTCTTGGAACACGTCTGGAAACATCACGGCCTCCCAGAGGAAGTGCTCAGTGACTGGGGCAGCACCTTTGTCTCTCAGTTCTCCAAGGAATTGGCAAGCCTTCTAGGGATTAAGCTCTCCCCCTTGATGGCCTATCACCCACAAACTGATGGCCAGACAGAGCATGTCAACCAGGAGATAGAAGCCTACCTCTGCATGTTTGTCAACCACAGACAAGATGACTGGGCCGACTGGCTGCCTCTTGCCGAATTTGCGTACAACAACCATGTCCATTCCTCCACCCGCTGTACCCCCTTTGAGCTCGACTCCAGGCAACACCCATGCATGGGAACCAAGCCAACCCACACATCAGAGGTCGAAGCAGCCGACGACTTTGCCTCTCAGATGATGAAGATGCAGGAAGAGGCAAAGGCAGCCCTGGAGCATGCAGTGGATGAGATGGCCCAGTACTATGACCGAAACCGGAGAGCAGCACCACAAATGGATCAGCCCCTTCCCAATTACCAAGGTAGTATCCCCAGCAGCAGTAAAGCTGCAGCTCACCCCACAGCAGAAGGGGATCCACCCAGTAGTCTCAGTCACCAACATCCACCCCTACCTCCCAGACGAAATCACAGGATGCCCAGCCGACCCGTGCCCAGGCCCAGATGTGGTAAATGGGGAAGAGGAGTACGAGGTAGAAAAGGTTCTAAACTCCAGATATAGGTATGGACGGCTCTGGTACCTTGTCAAGTTCATGGGATGGCCACACTCGGAGAATGAATGGCTTCCCTGGGAGAACTTGGAGCATTCCCCAGACCTCGTGGAGGAATTTCACCAAGCCCACCCCACAGCCCCCAAACTGACAAGGACCAGAAGACCCCACCAACCAAGGACATCAGCCACTTTGAGGCGAAGCGGCATAGAGGGGGGGTGATGTCAGGGCACAGCCCTCAACCCCACTCACCCTCAGACACCCTTCCCCTCTCCCTAACCACCCTCTCCCCACATCTCCCCATTCCCCCCATTCTTCCCTCTACTGTTTCACACAATGATGCATGCATGCGGACCCATGGGAACGTTCTGGGCAAGTTGCTTGCCCAGAAATGCACAGCCACGTCTGCAGGAACTTTCTGGGAGAGTAACTTGCCCAAGACACGTGACCGTGGGAACATTCTGGGCAAGCAGCTCGCCCAGAACTTTCCCACGGGTCACACCCATTATGGGAAGTCGGCAGCAAGCGGGAACTGTATAGTTCCTAGGGCCCTTTTGTGTCGGCCTCACAGGGGGCTGAGAAGCTTACCCTTCTTCTCAGCTCATTCCCTGTGAAGGCTGAGGCTAGCCCCAAGGGGGTGTCAGCATTTCCCGGTTGAAAGGTATGCCGGGGGGGGGGGGTTCATGATGGCGTGAAGATGTAACTTCATGTACTTATGCAACTGCAGTATAATGTGTAAAAATGCCATTCTACTAGTTAATTCAGGCAAGAAGGTCACAGCAAATGTGGAATTACACTTTGATTACACTACTTTTGGGCGCGATGCTGCTTCTTGGGCTGGTGGTCAGGACATTTCCAGTTTTCCTCTGCCCGACACAGGTCAACACACTCTAAATGAAACTATCAAGTATTCCAAGTAAGAGAGTAATCTTGTGTATCATGTAAATAATAACGTACCCAGCCATACTCACACCCAATATGAGCACACTTAACTGTTTGCCCTGCTGCTATCTCATTCTCAGATGGCGATTCACCACAGCAGCATCCACCAAAGATATCCTCTTCTCCAACAACTTGTCGCTGGCGGCCAGATCTAGTCCTTTGCTTTGTACCAAAATGGGCTTTGAGATAAGTTAGTATGCGATGTTGAAGGAAAGAGTTGAAAGGACTCACACCTGAAATCGTAGTTTGCAGGGGATGCTGGACAGGTGCTGGGTACATCCTCTGGATCAGAGATTGGCTGATCACCCGATTCCCTATCCTCCAAGTCAGGGCTCCCTACGTTGGCCTGGAGGTCCATAGGTGCGTGGTCCATATCTTCGGGTGTCGTGGTTCTGTGAAGCCTGATAAGCGCTATCATAGTTTCAAGAGTTAACGGGATCAGTTACTCACTCAAGGACTATCCGAGAGCTATGAGCCTCTGATATGGTGAGTGTGGTGGGCTGGCTGCTTGAGCCGATTGTCCATCTACTTGACAACCTCTGTAGGGATGGGGATATCTTCTCCCATCTCGCTCTCATTCTTGACATTTCCTCTGTGGAAATTGCATAGTCCAGTGAGTAGCGGGCTGAGTTAGAAGGATGGGATAACATCAAGTGCTCATCCATATTGTATTTCCACACAACCGCCTTGCATAATGGACATTCCACTGGCACATTTGAGCATGGTGAGTGTGAAGTAGATTTGGATGCAGGTGCATATCTGAATGATGGGGTTGGTGAGTGGTTACACTGAGATGCATGTAGATCGATTCGATAAGGTTGGCGAGCCTTGATTATGAGTTTAAAGGTACATTGGCCAGAGGGACAAAGACAAAATCCACATGGTTGATCTGAGCGTGCCAATCAGCCATCATAAAGAATGTGTGCGCCCATGTGCACCAATAGGCCAGATGACTTATTGAGGTCCAAGGAGACGTTGCATAGAGGACAGAGGTTGCCATGAACGTCAGATATTGGTCGATCATTGCTTGGGAATTCCCCAGCAAAACAGGCACTGTCGTCTTCAGCTGATATTAGCATCCGCAACCCCTGACTGAATCATCTTAGGCTTACCAACAGGATTCCTGTAAGGAAATGTAGGAGATACCTTCGCCTTTGGTAGGTCAGACATTCCTTGGAGTCCACAGATGCTCAACAGTGATGCCGCTAGCCCGTTTTTGTGAAGATAAACGTCGCACGACCAGCCACATCATCTTGCTGGATAGTCGGATTAATGGGATGAAGGTATGCTCCCTTCGTCTTACTGCTCTCCATTTCTAGTTTCCAGTCTTTCCATAGCCAGTCCTCGTTGCCCTCATAGGTTGTCTTGCTTTTCAGCGTGAGAATGTGGAAACTGACCTCAACAACGCGTTCAGAGAGCATTGTCAAAGGTATGGCTTGAGTTCCTTGCTCATCGATTTTCAATGCAGATATCTGAACCACAGCCAGGAATGGGGTGTTTTCAATGATGATGAGGGTCACTGCCGGATCCCCAATGCAAAGTGTGTCACCAAAGCTGCTGTCATCAGCATCAGCGTCGCTTGTTGTGCTGGTAGGTGTAACTGAAAATCGGGTGAGCCCAGCGATTCACTTCTGTCGATCTAGGGATCCTTTTTGATGGACAATACTCTGGAACAGGGCTTTCAATGCCCACGCTTCCATGCTTTATGGATTGTCTTCTCTTCTCCAGTTTTTTCGTCACAGATTGAGAGGTAGGATGAAATACATGTATGGTCATCGGTAATGTCCCCCAGAATGTCCTCCAAGTCAAGCCCAGCATCGGGTCCGTCTCCTATAGGATTGGCTGTGTCTTCCGGCCCCCCGTTCACACTGGTCACAACGTCCAGAGCGCCTGTGCTTGACCCTGAAGACGAGATGACCGTAGCATCTCTGACATCATCCTCATCCTCCCTTTCAAGATCATCATTGCTTGCAGCAGATGGATTTATATCGAGTTTCATGATTAGGTGTCCAAATGGTGAGAGCATATCAATCCCTCTGTGAGTGGCAATGTTGTTGATTTGTCCAGCAATTTTACTGTCAACAGTCATAGCAAGTGAACGCCCATTCATCCAACATGTCAGGGGGAGTACATATTTGATGCTCACGTCCCCCTTCCAGAGTGCTGGTGTGATATGGTTAATACACTGCGATTCCTTTTCCAGTTCTTGAAGGGATGGTAGCCTCAGATGCCGTGGACTCCGGTCCCATTCTGGATGGTGAGCAAGTATGTTTTGGATTTCAGTTACATGCGACAATCAGGTTGATAGCTGAAGTGTATCAGCATTTGCATCATTCCCAACCATTGTGCGTAAAATACCAAATGCGATCTCGAGGCGATCTGTTCCAAGGAGAATGATATAGACTTGATTGCAAGTTTTTTCTTTCGCTATGCAAAAGAAAACATTCTTGACAGCAATCTGGATGTCAACATAGAGTTGTGTTGGCATAAATCGTCCCTTATTTGGATTTTCCCTGAAGAGGACTAGGAGCAAATGTGCGGCAGCACTGAGATGTTCAAGTTGCTGCCAAAGACTAAGTGTTATGTCGATATAGGGTCGCACAAACAAGAAACAAATGCGACCAAAAAGGTAGAGAGCACAACACTGGGCTGTCCTGATTGGATCCTTGTCATCGGTAATTAAGGGAAGCTCCCAGATGGCCTTCAGTAACTCAATAGCCTTCGGTACATCTTGTTTATCAGCTGGGTTCAGCAAAGCCCGGATTGTTGTGAATGACAACCCATTTTGATGAAGGTGTTTCTCAAGGATTTGCAGAGTGATGATTGTGTCAAAAACATTGAAACCCGCTGGGCGCAGGGTGAGTGTGCATAATCTCTTGAAGAGATGCTTATAGTCCTTATCACAGGTTATGTCATGTTTACCAACAAGATGGTTGAATAATGGAAGGGGGGAAAGTAAGGGATAGATGGGGGATGTATCGGAGAGGGGTTCCTTCAGTGTGATCTGGGCAAGTGCGGCCCCTCGACGCGATTCACCATCAGATGCAAGACTGTACAGTGGACCCTTCAAGTCGTTCCTGCATGCCTCAATAACAACTTCAATTAATTTGGCATGGCTGCTAGCGTTCTCACGCTTGCATGTGGGCGAAATTAGAATCGGATGGGAACCATATATCCTTGCAGATGATGACAAAGAGCCCACGGCTCCAATGGTAGCCTATAATGAAATAAATATGAGATCATTTGACTATCTTTGTTACTCACCTCCACTGCCAGGTGTACCGCTCCATCCCGGACCCCTTCAAATAGGCGATCAGCTTCATCAGTACTCGCGTACTCAAGTGCAAACCCACTACTATGCTCATGGCATACCCCAACAATGTTATTGGTGGATGGATCATACCGTGAAACTTCTTCAATCTTGATCTCATCAAACATGAGAATGTAAGCCCCAAGAATGTCATTATGCTGCTCAATGTGATCCCCACTCCCAAAGGTCCCGGCAACCTGTGAGACCGAGAGGTTATGATGAAGTTCATGGGCAGTTGGGAGTCTGGTTGAGACGCGGAGTGGCTCTGTTGGTCGATTGTGCCGAAGCGTGGTGACAGCAGGGGTGCCAAGGGCATTGTGTGCAATGCTTGCCAATTGGGTGCCTCCCAGCCGAAGAAACAGTAAGCCCAGTTCCATTTCTTGCTCAGTGAAGGACCTAGCTGCGTACACCTTCTTTGCCGCTTTCATAAAGAGCTCCATGATTCTGTGCACACCCATCCTCCTCCTCAATGCTACTCACATCACAGCATCGGCCTGCTTGACATCCCCAGATGACACGATCATGAGCAAGCGTTTATGCTCATCAATTGCCCGTGTCTTTCGTCCTAACTGCACATTGGCATTGAATGCCAGAAGCTGACGCATTGCCAATTGCTTCTGTGCCTTCAGCAAGGCCTGACAGAGGGTACCCCATGACCAAAGATGATGGTTTGCAGTTTGTGGTGTCCCATTTTCAATACACTTTCTAATTCCCTTATCTGCTAACATGCAGCATTCATGGCAAGTTGAATGATTGCCAGGTGCGATTCTGTGGCACTTCCGAGAGCGAAGGTATAAAGTGTCATTCCGAATCTCGAGATCCCAGTGGACACGATGAGCAGCATGCAGGCCAAAGGGATAGACATAGTAAGGTGACTGGTTTGCGGGAATATCTAACTTCTGTGCCATGCAAAGCCTTTCAGCACTGCTGTCCATAACATGCAAGTTCAGTATGATCTTGATGTTGTCTTCATCGTCACTGACCAAGATGGGACTTTTGTTTTGGGGTGAGGATGGTGCCATATCCAGAGGAATTCTGCTCAGCATGCATTTGAGAATGGGATACAGTGAGTTAAAACAAAATGCCTACAATCATAGCATTGCTTCTGATAACTTCTCAAGTTTGGTGTCAAATAAGGTGGGATTCAAGCCCCGCTTGCAGACAAACCATTCTAAAAAGCCAACTAGCCCTTCAACTCCGTGAGCTCCCTGTCGTACTTTACTGATGATCATCTGAACTGGGTCATCCCATCCAAAGATGGTATGTAGCACCGGATTAATGTGTTCCCAATCCTCTAATGTATCCTCGCTGCAGTTTGCTCCTGCCCAGGAGGATGGGTCTGGTGTGTCAGAACTGTGCGAATCTTCACCGAGGGTAGCCATAGGCAACCAAGTGTTGCCCGCTAGTGATACAGGCATCCTATACACAACTGAGCTTCAGCAAGGAATAACCTCACCGATCTCGAGGCTGAGGCTACTTGGGCAGGTGAGCCGGGATTTCGGCTTCAACGACTTGAGGAGGAGCGTTGCGCCTTGTTCTCGATGCGGTCCCGATACTTCAGAAGGTTGGAGGTCTTATGGGAACAGAAGTAAGCTTAGGGGTGAATGTCTAGTTGATTTCGAACTACAGTACAAGCATTAGTTACAAGCTGTATATAAGCGCTAGGGATGTCACGACCGACAAATCCCGGGGCTCTGTCAGTGGCAAACCAATGCCAATAGGCGAATCCGCTGACCCGAAACCCATCCTAACCAGCCCCCAACCCCATGTCTGGCCTCCTGCCTTACTGCATGAGACTTGGCCAGTAATCAGAACCTAGACCCTGCCGGTATTCCGACCTTACCTCCAGTTCCTGAGCCCTTGGCGCTCCCGGCATTCAGTCATGCCTGCCTTGTCTCCATCCGAACCACACTCATCACTTCCCGCTATGTGGTCACAGCCATGCCCCGCTTCCATGCATTCCGCACCCTCTGCCCACTCCGCACCCTCTGCCCATCTCTGCACCTTCTGGCCACTTCTGGTTGCCCTTGACACCTCTGGTCAGGTCAACACCTCTGTACCTCTGTTGGCCTTCATGCTGTCCTTGTGTGACAGTGCTGGCAGATCAACCTCTGTTTGCGGACTTGTGTCGGCACCGCACCGACCCCGCTTATTTGCGGACTTGTATCGGCGCCGCGCGCTGACCTCCACTTTTCCTCCGGCCATTTGTCACTTGGCAGCTTGTCATTCATTCTTTGCCGAGTGCCATTCATTGTTTGCTTCCCTGCCAATATTGGCATTTGATCCCCTCTTTATTGGCACTAGGTTATTGATCTCATTCAGTTATTCATCAATAACCCTTGCCACTTATTGTTTATTGATCTATTCCTCATTTCCAGTTCCCGGGCTCTTGTCCTTATTTAGTTTGACAATCCCCGCTTATCTCCGCGCCGGACTGACCGGCCTTTCTATATTCCCTCTTGCCTATTTATATACCTTGTAAATACTTTTGGGGACCTCAGTCTGAAATCAACTAGAGTACCCCCCTGTCTGGTCTGAGTCTCTCCTTCTGCAAAGGGGGCTTCCCCCCTCTGAGTCTGTGCTTGCGGAGTCCGCGCTCCTCCTATAGGTCCGCTCCGCCCACAAGTCTTGTTTGAAGTCCGCTGTAAGTGTCAGTCCGTAAATATGGGATCTCCCCCAAACGTCAAGCTCAGGGCACAGCGCTCCACCTGAGTCGCTGAGGCCGCGATCCCACTCTGCTAACCTTGAACAGCACTTCCGGATGCGCCGCATATTTCCGCCCACATATCCGCGCGTGTGCTCCAACAGACCTCTGCATCACCTCCGACCTCAACTCAGACAGAACCCAATCCGTCGTCTATCTGTCTTCTGACAGTCTGCCAGACTCCAACAATATTCCCAGTCTCTGACAGCATCCCAGATCTCTGACAGTATTCCGGCTCTGACAATAATCCCATCTCTGACAAGGGAACTGAATAGGGAATAAGTCACCAGATCTTGCGGAGATTGCAGGTGGAGAAAAGAAGAAGGAAAACAAACAAGGAGCACGTGTTTAAGACAGCGAAGGTCAAATGTGACCTTTGCCGCAAGATAACAAGGTGCAGCGAAACATGGGACAAGGTTGTTCAACAACAATTAGGAGAGGGGTCGTGGAGAGGTGGCAGGAAGTGGTTAGGTGGCGACGGGCAGCAAGCGGAGTGTGTGGGGAGTGTTCGGGCATGGGAGAAGGTTGGGGAGGAGGTCGTCTGACCCCAGGGAACACCGGGTCGTGACAGTATCCCCCTCTTAGGACTGAACCCTTGAAGTCCCAAGGAACTGGCATGGGAACCGGTTTGGCTGAGCGGGAAATTTTGGTTCCGCCAGCACGGTGATCGAACTTACCACCACAACAACCTGATCTTCCATTCTCATGGCTCCCAAGAAGAATCCAGCAGATATAAGGACGTGGAGCAAGGATGACATCGTCGATCAGTCTGATGACAATGTGGAGCTGATGGAACAGAAGCAAGCGGAGAGGTTGCAGCATCGCAAGGCTGAGATTGTGCATCATGAGGCCCAACAACAAGAGGAGGCAGCCAGGGCTCAAGCTGAGGCTGCACGCCTCGCCGCTGAGGAGGAGAGGTGATCGAAGGCATCAGATGTGGTCGCAGGCAAGGTGAGTACCCCGATCAGTATGATCTTTGCCAGGAACCTTTACTGATCATCCTGATCAAAGCGTCCTGCGCTACATCGGTGGTGGGGGAAGGACTACCACCCTGCGAACGTTGTGTGAAGAGAGGCGTGGAGTGCGTTAAAGGCAACAGCGATTGTGGCATCTGCGCCGCATGTCAGAAGTCCAGGCAGAAATGCGTATGCGGGGCGGGAATGCCTCAAGCCACGAAGCGACCTCGTATCAAGGCGCCGAAAGGAGAGGGATCGATGATGGATGTGGACGATGTGGAAACGGAGGAGGATGAGGTGGTCAGTGACAAGGACAGGATCTATGATGTGCTTTGCGACATCCATCAAGTGATCTCTGGTCTGACCACCGTGGCGGGGCGACTGTTGGAACACGTCTGTGACACTGAGGAGAGAAGATTGATGGAGGTGAGGGCGAGGCGCAAGGTGAGGGAAGTGGGGGAGAGGGAGGCGAGCGTGATGGGGTCGAGGGTCGATCGTCCCATGACGTCTACTTCCGACTCCTACTCCACTTTGTTCTTACATGATCCTTAAGCGCAATCCATCCATTCTGTCCCATGCCTTAGGCGCGATTTGGTCCCGGCTTATCTGGGTATCGTGAGTGAAAGTCCGCAACGAGGTCTGAAGCGTGACCAAGTTCGGTCGCAGGGAGCCACTCAGTCTCTTCTGTAGTCCCTTCATAACCATCCCAACATACGAGGTACAACAGCTTGCAGCTTCGCCAGCGATTGATTTTAGAGTTGAGGACCTCAGCGATCTCATATTCGAGTTCGCCATCAATTTCGATTGGCGGCAGTGGCGGCTGCATGTGGTTCAGGATGGGGTTGGGGACAGCGGGCTCAAGTTGGGAGACATGAAAGACTGGGTGCACAGCCTTCATGGTGTCGGGGAGGCGGAGAGTATGAGAAGGAGAACCTGGCTGTGCGATGATCTCGAATGGCCCAAGGTTCTTATCAGCGAGCTTCGCCGAAGGCCTAGTGGTGCGGAAGTACTTGGCCTTCACGAATGCGGAGCTGCCAATGTCGAATGGGGGAGCAGGTAGCCGTCGAGCATCCGCAGGGCCTTGGTAACGTTGCTGTGCATGGTTCATTTCCTCACATAGGAATTGGTGGAGAGAGTCGAGATCGACCGAGCACTCCTGGGCTCGCGCCAAAGTCAGATCTCGCTTGGGGTGTACGGCAAGGTTTGGGTGGTAACCTTTGTTCGCAAAGAACGGTGAAACACCGGTTGTAGCATTCGGCGCATTATTGTAGGCGAACTCCACCAGAGGCAGGAGCTCGGACCAATTGTCCTGCTGGTAGTTACAATAGACATGCAGATACTGCTCCAGTGTTTGGTTCATTCGTTCGGTCTGACTGTCACCTTCGGGATGGTAACCCGAGGTGAAGGGTAGGCGAATGTCCAAAGCCTTGCCAAGAGAGCGGAAGAAGTGGGAGATGAATTCTGAACCCCTATCAGAGGTTATGTGGGATGGAACGCCGTGCTTGGAGAAGACATGAAGGAGGAACAACTTCGCTAACTCCGGGGCTGTTATGGTAATGGTCATTGGCATGAAGACACACTGCTTTGATAGCCGGTCGACAATAACCAAGATAGCCGTGAAGCCGGAGGAGTTGGGAAGGTGCTCAATGAAATCCATTGATATGGAGTGCCTCGGGCGTTCGGGAATAGGTAGCTGTTTGAGCAAGCCATATGGCTTGTGTTGTGGGGCCTTGGTGCAGGCGCAAGCCATACAAGAGGACACATAGTCCTTGACGAACGTGCGGGTGCCCAGCCAGGTGTACTCTCGGCGTAACAGATCCAAGGTTTGGTTCTGCCCGAAGTGGCCAGAGAGCAGGTGGTCATGCTTATACCTCGGGATGCGAAGCCGGAGGTTGTTGGCATCGGGGACGTAGATTCGGTTGTCTAGCCATAATAGGCCATCTGCGTCTTGAGACCAACGGGAGTCCTCTGGGATCGGGCCGGCAAGGTAGTTGGCGATGGTGGGATCAGTGGGGAGGGCGGCTAGGATGTCTTTGTGGATGGCGTCGACGTCAACGAGGGAGCTCGCTCGTAGCACAGGTTCGGCAAGGTATGTAGCTCTTAGGGAGGATGTGAGCTGCTCCTGAGTGAACACTGGTCGGAAGTTCTGAGGGTTTATGCGAGCGTAGTCCCTATCCCCCTCTTTGGGGTAGACATCCCAGCGTCTAGTCAACGCATCTGGTTTTGCGCCGAGTCTTCCTGGGCGGAAACGGACAACCAAGTTAAATTGAGAGAGAAACTCAGACCAACGAGCCTGGCAGCGCGTTAGGAGCTTCATGGTGCAGAAGTATTCCAAATTCTTGTGATCAGTAACCACATCAACGGGGGTACCGGAGCCTTCCAAATAATGCCACCACCCTCGGAATGCTTCATAGATTGCTAGAAGCTCCTTGTCATGGGTGTCGTAGTTGAGTTCCGGCACTGTCAACGTCCTCGAACGAAAAGCGACAGGGCATATCTTGTCATCCGCACAGCGGATAGAGATGATGCCTGAAATCACGTAATCGGAGGTGTCGGTTTCGACTATGATCGGTGCATCAGGAACCCAATGGGTCAAAATGGGGGCGGAAGTGAAGGCGTCCTTAAGTCGTTGGAAAGCCGAACGACAATTGTCGGTGAATACCCAGGGGGCCCCCTTTCGGGTGAGCCAGGTCAGTGGTACCACAATATCGGAATACTCGTGGATGAAGCGCCGATAGAAATTAGCGAATCCCAAGAAGGACTGAATATCCTTTACCTTATGGGGTTCGGGCCAATCTTGGATGGCCTTCACCTTCTCTGAGGACATGGCAAGTCCGCTAGGAGAAAGTACGTACCCAAGGTACTCCATAGTCTCGGTATGGAACTCACATTTCTTTGGGTTGGCAAATAGCCCATGTTGTCAAAGCCTTCGGAGGACTTCCCGGACGTGCTCCTCATGGGAGGCCTCGTCCTCAGAGTACACTAGGATATCATCCAGGTATACGACAACACAGATGTCTAAGAGGTCAGTGAAGATAGAATTGACGAACTGCTGGAATGCCACAGGTGCATTTGTAAGCCCAAATGGCATAACTAGCCACTTGTAGGAACCATAGCGGGTTCGGAACGAGGTCTTCCACTTGTCACCTGCGGCGATGCACACAAGGTGGTAGGCATGCCACAGGTCGAGTTTTGTATAGACCTTCACTCGGCTCGGGGCATCTAGCAGGTCTGCTATGTGAGGCAGCAGGTATCTATCTTTCTTTGTGATCCAATTGAGGCC